AAGCACTGGATGTATGGTGTACGACAATTTTATTCGCTTTAAACTTCCACAGGAAATATGACTTGTTTTCAGTGTGAAGTTCTTTAAAATATTTATTAACTCACTATTGTTCCTTGCCTACCAGTTTCACCTGGCAGTTTTTGTCTTAGGTCTCATATTTTATTGCTTAAAAGATGTGCATTTTGATTTTTACGCGATTTCATGCCTGATAAATGTGCAAGCTACATGGTGCCCTTGCTGCATGGGTTTTGGAAATAATCAAACGTAATGACTGTTACACAACTATCTTTTATCTTTATGGCCTATAAATACAACCTTTTACCTACTGAATATGAGCCCTGCTACTTGAGAATCGATTCCACATGCAAGGTTTAAATTATGTCCACGTTGATGGCGATCAAAATTTAAGACCTTTGATCTACTAACTGCCTGTATTATTTATTTGTTAGCTAACGTGATATCCCCAGTTAATAAATGTCTTTATATTTATTTTGATTTTTCCAGGAAATGTGGTCATTATCTTTATTTTGCCCAAGCATAAAATGTGACCTTTGGTTCTTTTCACATCTCTTTTCATTTTAGATTGCACCCAGACCAAACGGTGTGGCCATTGCTTTGCTGGCAGCGCGCATAGGAACAATTTTCTGTTGCTTATTCTTTTTTATCGGTTCCTTATTAGGAAACCTAAATTCATCAGCCACTTGGTACCAACGTGCCCTACTTTTAAACGCAGCCATCTCTGCACTTCGTCTTCATCAGCGAATTGGCCGACTTTGTGCCTCTGGAACGCCTTTCTCCTTTTCTCTCAATAGCCTTTCTTTATTGATTGCTGAAGATCCTTTCCACTATCTGATATATTCCGTCTTATTTGTATTTATGGCACCAATTACAGGTAGGAATATTTTATTTTACTAATACATCTCATGCTTTAGTCATTTGCTTTTTTTAATCAGCAAGCATAAACGACTATACCTAGTTTCTATTAATGCATTTTGCCTATTTTCCTCATCTGAATCTGCCTACTCATCCTCTGCTTTTCCTTTTTAAGTTGCATACATTTAATTCCTTTTTTGAAACAGTTCAACAATGAAAAGTGAGGTTAATTCTGTCTGTTTTTCTTAAAGGGATAGCTCAATATTCATGTCAACAGCTCATGTTCCTTAGATTTGGTCTCCGACTCGCTTTTTATTGCTAGTAATTTATCTAGTTATATTATATCTTAAACGTATATTTATGCAGTATATATAAGTATCGCTATATATATACATAGAGGGAAATAGTGAGGATAGCCTATTTTACAAACGTATAGGTTCAAATCACGCTTTTTTGTCATGTGTATAAATATAACTTGGTTTTTGATAAATAACTATAATTCCTTATAATTTGCTGAAAGAGTTCTTAATTGAATGATCAAACTTTTTGCTTTATCTAAAGTATGTGTGATTAAAGTATCATGAGTCTCCTTCAGTGGGAAATGTTGCTTCGTATCTATGTTATTTAACTTAGATTCAGTAACATGATAGATTTGATAGCGAGTAAATTACTGAGTTGGACAAATATTTCTCTGTTGAAGTGGGCCAATGACTCGTTTACCTTAAACTGATCAAAATATGATTTGTTGCCTCGAGTAATCACTTGATCATTATCATAAGACAGCCTATTCCATTGTGATATTTAACTTTATTGATGATTACGTTTATTTATTCATATTTTCAGTTGCAATAGTGCCAATATTCCTGTTTGCATTACTTCATACTATGAGCTACACACAATCCCTTCTAGGCGTAAGTTGGAAATTTTTTTAATGCAATTATATTTTCTACCTTATGCTCAACTATATTATTGTCTAAAGTAAATTGATCTCGCTTTAGTAACATATATTCTCGGGGCGACTTTCTCGTACAGTATGCTATCATTTCAGCATCGAATCGTTGACTGGCTACTGATTTATCGTTAGTATCGTCATTGGAGTCATCTGTCAGCAATCCTATCCTTAGCATCAAGCCACAACTCATGAGTGACGAGTGAAGTCACTCTTCTTTGCAAGTTGTAGATTAGTGCTAGGGATTGCACTACTCACTGGCGATACCTACCTTGAGGCCGACTTAGCTTCTAGGGATGTACCTCGTAAGCTGTTCGATACTGGAAGAGCTAATATTAAGAATAGCGGAAGGCACAGATCGAGCTGGCTTTTAAAATCTGCATTAATGATGACTAAGTTGCTAAAACAAACATAACCCAACTCTAAAGCGAATTGAGACTTACAACTTCATCCTGATTTCATAGTTTATCCTATTTAACCATCCGCCAACAAAAATACCAAGTTAGCTTGAAGTGCTTTATATGATCTGTAATACTCTATGCATTTTTTTTATTTATGGAGACTTGTATGTTTTATTTATCTTATTTTATCTATTGAAAGTCTCTTGACAGCGATAATGCTTCACCCTTTCAACGATCGCTGTCCTTGGCGATTGGAAAAATACGCAATAACGAGCAGACTATTCTTCG